AAGCAGAGAGGAGGTTTCTCTGTAAATCCAAAGGATTATAAACTTATGGAAGAAGTTGGTCATGGAGCTAGCGCCGTTGTTTATCGTGCGATCTATCTTCCGACTAATCAAGTCGTCGCTATCAAGTGCTTGGATCTCGATCGATGCAATAGCAATCTGGTTCGTTCCTTTAATTGTTTATGAATTTAGGTCAATCTAGAGAAGCTTGAGCCTTATGAATTACTTGTAGATTCGAGATCATGAGCAATTTTAGTAAAAAATTATGTTGCTCCATACAAAATTTCTTAGATCTCTTGTTTTTATGAGTTTGTTTTTTGGGTTTTTGTAGGATGATATTAGGAGGGAAGCTCAGACTATGAGTTTGATTGACCATCCAAACGTTATAAGGTCGTTTTGTTCATTTTCTGTCGACCATAGCCTTTGGGTAATCATGCCATTTATGGCACAAGGTTCGTGTTTGCATCTTATGAAGACTGCGTATTCAGATGGATTCGAAGAGTCGGCTATATGTTGTGTACTGAAAGAAACTCTTAAAGCTCTTGATTATCTTCATAAACAAGGTCATATCCATCGGGATGTTAAGGTTCGGTTAAAGAGCGAAACTTTATTAGTTCATTGGACTTTTTAGATTCCAGCCATTCGTAGAAAGTATTCGAATTTTATTGTTTTTTTTTTCATCCTAGGCTGGAAACATACTTCTTGATGACAATGGGGAGATTAAGCTTGGAGATTTTGGCGTCTCTGCTTGCTTGTTTGACAACGGTGATAGGCAACGTGCAAGAAACACATTTGTTGGTACTCCTTGCTGGTCGGTTATTGCAGTTCTTTCTTTTTGTTATTTACCATCACTCTATATTCAGTGGTTTACATTTAAACTCTTGTTTTCTGTTTGTAGGATGGCACCGGAAGTCTTGCAGCCGGGAAATGGATACAATTCCAAGTGAGTTTAGACTTTAAGCTCAAGTGCTAGCTCAAATGGATATATCAGTTTCTGCTTGTTTCCTTGTCTAATATTAGAAAGTAGCTCACTTTGCCATGCATGTTAAGACAACTTATCAAACTAATCTGCATTTTCCAAATGTAACCATATGTGTTTGGGGATGCGTATCAAATACTCTTTATCAAGGAAATGCAATTATAGCTTATTGGTTGGCTCTTCTTCTGTCATTTCTTAACAGGGCTGATATCTGGTCGTTTGGTATAACAGCACTTGAATTGGCGCATGGTCATGCACCTTTTTCAAAATATCCCCCCATGAAGGTGTTTAATAACTCTTTTTTTGAATTATGTGTCTGTTTGCATCTTTTAAAACGGTTCTGAAATTTTATTTTTCTGGTTATAGGTGCTCCTAATGACTATTCAAAACGCACCTCCCGGCCTTGATTATGATCGTGATAAGAAATTTTCTAAGGTACTCGTGTTCTTTCTATATGTATTCTCTTATGTTGTTCTAGCTTTGTTGGATTTTCGGACGTTTCTGTTTTTCATCTGCATTTATATTTTCACTAAACTAATGAGACGACTTTCAGTTGTGCCCAGTCCTTTAAAGAAATGGTTGCAATGTGTTTGGTGAAAGATCAAACAAAAAGGCCAACTGCTGAAAAATTGTTGAAACACTCATGTTTCAAAAACACGAAGCCTCCTGAGATTTCTGTGAAAACGTTATTTGCTGATTTACCACCTCTTTGGGCACGTGTAAAATCTCTTCAGGTAAACAATGTTCTTAACGTGTTCTAGCTTGTTTGGTGCAATTACCCTTTTCTTATGTTATTGATTGCATTGTTGTATGACAGGCCAAGGATGCTGCACAGCTTGCTCTAAAGAGAATGGCCACCGCGGACGAGGAAGCTATATCACAGGTGATGAACGCCTTAGTTTGACATTATTACCTAAGTACGTTACGAGTAGAATTGCACAGTGGTCAAAAAACAATATTTTTAATGTCAGAGTGAATACCAAAGAGGAGTGAGTGCTTGGAATTTTGACATCAAAGACTTGAAAACACAAGCATCTTTGGTAAGTTAATTTTCGCCAGTGGTCTGTGATTGCGCTATCCTTATATTATGTTTGTTGGTTCCATCACGTATCCTGTTCTTATAGTATTTGTTTCTGTAATAGATACTTGATGACGATGATCTAGCAGAGAGTAAGGAAGATGAAGAAATATTCAGTGCACAGTTTCATAATAAGGCGAGTATCAGTCTGTGGATAAAATTCTGAAAATGACATGTATAAATTTCACTCCCTTGGTATTCAAATTTGGTGGATTGAACTTATTTTGAAACCACTGCAGGTGAATGACAGAGGGCAAGTATTTGATAGTCTGCCACTATGTGAGAACATGAACGGAATGGAAAAGGTTTCCAATACTGTGATGGAAGAACCAACCGAGAAGAAACTCACTTTCATTACAACTGCTTCTAATGTGGAACAAATGACATCAAATTCAGAGCATCACATCCCCGAGGCCAAGGTTAAGCCAGCAAGACACCAAAGTCATAGTGGACCACTTACAAGCAGGACCGTTTTGAGCCACTCGGCTTCAGAGAAAGGTCGTATCTTTGAAAGGTTCGACATTTGCTTGTTGCTGTTTGAGACTACACTTCAGATCTGCTTGTCCTATAATAGAAACTCTTAAACAATCCAACTTATAACTTCTATTTGCTAGACCTGAGAGTGAACATCAGAAGACACCGCCAGTCCGAAGAGCACCCAGCTTTAGTGGTCCTTTGAATCTCCCAACCCGTGCTTCTTCAAACAGTTTGTCAGCTCCTATTAAATACTCAGGAGGTGAGCAAGTGGCATTGGCAGTCTTCGCGCAGCTTAATGGTTTTATTGCTTCTCTTGCCGTTTACTTTACGAGTGTTTTTTCCATCTTGAATAGGATTCCGTGATTCTCTGGATGAAAAGTCAAAGGCTAACCTGGTTCAGAAAGGACGATTTTCAGTAACATCAGGAAATCTAGATCTTGGAAAGGTAGGTATTTTATTTACTGTTATTTGCTTTCCTCTTTCTATTATGGTAAACTAACCATACAATCTACTGTAGGATGTTCCATCAAGTTTCGTCCCTCGTCGATCTCCACCGGTTGGTTTCTAGTCTCTGCTATAATAGTGTAGACTCTGATGATTTCTCCTCACCTGAATTTATTTACCTGAATATTATACACTTAATTTCCAGGCTTCCACTCTGAGAAAATCTGCGAGTGTTGGTAACTGGGAACTTGAGCCTAGAATGGTCAGTTTTCGACCATAAAGTGTCCTTCAAGTCACCCGTTAATAGGTTTTGTATTTTACGCGATGGGATTAATATTTCTTGATTGTAATCTTGATGTTGTTTTCTATCCTGCAGCCAACAGTTCAGCCTCAGACCATTAATGAGTTAAGTAGCCAACCTATGTCTCCCTCACAGATCATGCCTCAACTTCAGCATCTATTTCAGCAAACCTCAATACAACAGGTGAAAATAAGTCCAGGAACATCCATTAAGACGTGAGAGTTATCTTGTTAATTAGCAGGATCTTAATCATCACATTGAACTATTTCACTGCAGGATCTTATTATGAGTTTACTGAATAGCGTACAACCTGTAGAGACGACAGATGGTACGATACACAACTATACTTAAATCGGTTGTCACGTTATAATTAATGATGAAGTCAATTCAGTAACGGTACATTCGTCCTTCTTATAGGTTCTCAATCTGGAAAGTTACCACCTTTGCCTCGACCAGACAGTAATGGAACCGTAAGTTGAATTCTCAAACGGAGTGTTCACTGTTCAAGCTTCATTAGAGATATTGCTTGCGGCGGCTATTTGACTTATGCCTTCATTTTCTCTGGATTACAGGTTGAACCTGTGGCTTCTGAGAGGGAGAGGTTACTACTTAGCAGTATCTCTGACCTCCGCGCTAGGTTAGTTCTCTTCTTCAAGCAAAGCTTTTGTTTCTAGAGAATGATGTAGCGTAGTCTATTAAGTGCATCTTGCTGCAAGCTGAAACTGTCAATTTTTTTCAGGCTGAACGACTTAACAGAGGAACTCAATACAGAGAAATCAAAATACAACCAAGTAAGTTAAATCATATAACATGTTAAAACTCAATAAACCGCTTGTGTATATTCTGTGCCATTAATTGAATGTTATGTTTATGTGTGTCTTCAGCTACAACAAAAATTGAAAGCATTCACAGGTCGGGAACAAGTGTAAGGAGGAAGGGAAAGGCGACCGCGGATACACTGAGCTGCACAGAACCTGTAGGAGATAAAGAGTGAAGTCTCATTTGGTAACACGTAAAAACCAGACAAAACTGTTCAAGAAAGATTAGAGACAGTGAAAGCAAAAAAGCATATCAATTTCTCCAGTTGGGTTCTGTGTGGGTTTCAGACGATGATGACGACGACAAGAAAGCGACCAATGTCTGGTTCTGATGTAAACTAACGTTGAAGGTATATAGCGGAAACGAATATAGAAATAAAAAGGAGAAGAATTAAAGCTCCTTTGGGGTCTCCAATCCCCACATATTTGCTTATTTACTTGAAACTATATATCATCACATGTTTTTTATCTTGTTTTATTTTTGGTGTATTATAATTATTATTTGTTAGTAAGTAGAAAGGAGAAAAGCGCTTCTTTTGAACCATTTGTGTAATGTAATTTGTAAATGCAACTTGATTGTATGATTGTATTCATCAAAATCTGTCTTGAGTAAC